AACCTAAACCTCAAGAGGCGATTTTCCAAAGGCCAGTTCTTACTAATCATAGGTAATTGATTCTTAACTCTTTTATTTCAATCTTTTACTTCTTTTAACAAGATTTCAACCTAGAATCTAGGATTTTCATGGTGGAATTGGGGATTTTTGGGTAGAAATTAGGAATTTCAAAATTTAGGGATTTAGACCTCAAATTGAGGTCGGATTCCAAAACCAATTGTATATCCGGGCTCGAGGTGAATGGGTAATTGGGTTTTGGTCCGAGTTTCGTGTTTGGACCAAGCGAGCCCGGTTGTTGACTTTTGTTGACTTTTTCCAAAATGTCCTAAATTGAATTCCTTGCAATCGTGGGTAGTTCCTAAGGCTTAAATTGAATTTTTTGATTGGTAATTGCTAGATTCTATTGGCCCGGAGGCTTATGTGAAAGGAAAGACGGTGATTGAGCTTTGAGTTTGGCCGTGGTAGCAAGGTAACTGTTGTGGCTAACCTTAGCTTGAGGGATTAGGTGTTGTTGCCTTATTTGCTATGTGTTTGGCTGTTGAGTACGACGTATAGGTGAGGTGACTAGTATCTATACGTTATCGTCTGGTCATATCATGCGAGTGACTCTTATACTTGTAACTGTTGTATTCTTTATCTGAACCGTTCATGATTAAACTGGTTATTCTTCATGTTAGACAAATCTTAATGTTTTTCCTGGAATTGGATATTGGTTGAGTATTGACTCAAGTTTAGATTTATTTTGTGAAGTTAAATATTGAAACAAGGTTGGTTATTGATGATTCCCTTGCTGGATTGTTTCTGTTTTGTTGTTTGGGTGAGGAAGAGTGCTAAAGCACGGAGGGTGATGTCGTGCAGCGTATTGTGAGTGAGTGATAATGCACGAAGGGTGATGCCGTGCCGTATTCTGTGAGTGATAATGCTCGAAGGCTGATGCCGTTCCATATTCTACTATTGATAATGCACGAAGGGTGATGTCGTGCCATGTTACGAGAGAGTTAATGCACGAAAGGTGATAACGTACCGTTTCTACTGTTTCTTATTGTGAGAATGAGAGTAAAAGCACGAAGGATGATGTCGTGCACATGTTTGCTATGTTATTACTTTCATTGGTGCAAGCATAATATTTACTGCATTTCTTTACTGTACTATTTCAGAATTTGTATTCCCTTCAGCATGTTTTTCCCCCTTCCCGTTATTATCTGCTAAATTTTCGTTTATTGTTATTTTCTCGTATATGATTTAACTGCACAGGTTCGTGTTATTGTCGTGTCCTAGCCTCGTCACTACTTCGCCGAGGTTAGGCTCAGTACTTACCAGTACATAGGGTCGATTGTACTAATACTGCACTCTGCACTTTCTGTACAGATTTTGGTACTGGACCTCGTTGACTAGAGTTGGGTTGCTGCCTTCAGTCCATTAGGAGACCCAAAGTAGATCTTCCAGCATTCGCAGACCCTGGAGTCCCCTTCCATTTATCCTGGTCTTCTTGTTTTCTATTGATTTCGAGAACAGATGTAATTCCTTTAAACCAGTATTTGTAGTAACTCTTAGAAGTTCGTGGATTGTGACACCAGATTTTGGGTAGTCATGTATTAGTGTTTGTATTATTATAAACTTCCGCACTTTATTAATTGGTGATGTTTTAAATTATTGTCAGCTAGTGATTTACTTAACGGGTTGGCGTATTAGATTTCTATATCTTGGCTTGCCTAGCATTCTAAACAGTTAGGCTCCATCATAATCCCGACGGAGGAAAATTTGGGTCGTAACAATATGACACATTTAAGATTACAAGTTTCTAAAAATTTTATTTTCTCTTAAAACTTGTGGATCAATTACACTACGTCAAATAAATTAAAACAAAAGGACTAGTAATCTTATAACAGCAAAAAATAATGTCTGATGTATAAGAAGACTTCAACTTGTTTTTGACTGAAGCATATGTGTTGTTGCAATAAATAACATTACTACAGTTGGACCATTTATGTTGGTACTTTTGGTAAAGGAAAAGAAGGTAAGATTGGTAAATGCGGGTGAATTTGTATTAATGAATGAAATTGGGAACAAGAGAGCAGATTTGAAGACTTGATGTGTTGTAATATAATAAGAGGGAAACTGGATGGAGATAAGATTGATATCGTCCTACTTTGTAGAACCAGAAAGGTGACCACTAGACCACAGTTAATACGGCTACAGTGGTGGTGGTGGACGTCTAAATGACGGTGGTGCTTGTCCAAGTAGCAACTTCGGTTCTACTTGCACTCTCGTTCCTCGAATCGAAAAGGTCAAGTACTTGCTCTTTCTCGACAGAGGATATACTTGTAAGTTGCCTCACTTTTGTTGTGTAAGAGTTTCACTGTATTTTTATCAAGTCATATGCGCACTTCAATTTATACTCAAACTAGTGAATTTGCCAGCGCTTTGCGCAGTCATATAAAAGATAATAATATAATCTTAAAATATACTTAAAATAGAAGGAAATAAAAATCTCATGCGTATGTATACAAAAACTAATCTATAAAAAAGATCAAAAAGAATAAACAAAAAAAGACCAAGATAACTCCCATAATTGTCTTTCTATAATAATCTTGAGGTTTCATTGCCCATCAGTTGAAGCTTTATTTGAAGGCACAAGCTCATTTCCATGAAGCATAAACCAAAAAGAAAAAGAAAAAGTTTCAAAGATGGCAAGAGCAACAGCCTCACTCCCAAACGTACTTTTCTCAATACGAGACAATAAATTATAATTGAACACCTAAAAACTGATAATAATAATGATGATGATGATGGTAGTAATAATAATAATAATAATAATAATAATAATAATAATAATAATAATAATAATAATAATAATAATAATAATCAACCCATAAATGTTGGGTTTATCTTTTCAAATTATCACTATCACCCTAATACATCTTCCTAAATTGTATTATAGGTGAAGTTAACAAATTAAAATTCGCTAAACATAAAACAAACAAAAAATACAACGTAACTCATAGGTATGGACAGAGGCGTATCCAGAATTTTAAAATTATAGGTCATATTTGAAAGTAGTGAAGGATTTGTCATCCTTTGAATTTCCGGAGCTATTTGTGAACTCACGGATGACCGAGTAGTACTAGAACTTGGCTCACCATTTTTTGACTTAGTGAGAAATCTATCCATTTCAATGTTAAGGATTATCATCCCTACAAAGTTAAACATTTACACTTTCTATTCATTCTATCTTAATTCAAATAGAATAGTATGATTCAAATCATAGAGTAATTGGATTTAAGGGACACAAATCAATTGGTTACTACATTAGATCGGTTTTCTCATTCATTGGCTTCGTACTATGATTCTTTTTTTTTTATTATTAGTAATTACTTCATTTTTAGAGCATTCTTAGCAGAAGTTCAAACTCTATTTCTTAGCAGAGTTCGATCTCATGTTACCTTGGCCCAAAATAATAATAATTAGTCAGAAATTAAGTTCACGTAGCCCCTACTTAACTAAGCTCGATCAAGCATTTTCTCAAACACAATATGTGGGCAAATCAATACTGCCAATATTCAAGACTTTAAAGTCATAGCTCTCCCAGGAAATAGCATTCAACAGCCCAATCTTATAAATAAACAGTAATAATCACCAACAACAAGATAAAATCTTGGCAAGAGATTCAAACATTGAATAGAAAGGGAAAAGAGAATTTAAAAAATTGCAAGAGGAGAAGAAAGTTCTGCGAGTAAATTAAAATAAAGAGAAAGAAGAGAGACAGGGTAGTTGCATACCTGAGAAACTAAAAGCAGAGACCAACGAGAAGAAATTGTATCTAATTTATTTTAGGGATTTGAAAGTTTGACTAAGAAAAAAAGGAAAGAAAAAGATAGTAAAAAACGACGTGGGTTTAGGGTCTTAGTGTTTTAGGGATCTGTCAATATAAAATTTTAATTAAAAGTCAAAAGGAACTTTAGAAAAGAAAAAAACAGAAAAATTTAATTAAAAAGAAGTATGCGAGGATGGGGGTTCGAACTCTGGATCTGGGAGACAAAAGAGGCACTCTAACACCAACACACCAAAGTAGTCAATTGAGCATGGGTGGTCACCAACATATTTATGCATACAACTCAAAATTTTAGACTGTGTATATAGTGCCTAGGGAGGGGAGCATGGGTGCATGTACCCCACCCCCTTCCACATAAATCCGCCTCTGGGGTATGGAAATGAAGTGCGATGCAAAGCTCAAAAAGAAAAAATGGATGGACTCTTATCTGAAGACAATATTTTGAATCAATTAGACTTGGTCCTCTGCATCTTTATACTCGTACTCTGACGATCATATTCTTAATTTTTTTGCGCGACTAAACAGTTGTGAGTTGCACTCATTGTTTTTGCTAATACTCTCTCTCCTCTCTCTCTTTCTCTCTTGTTCCTCTTCATATATTCTTTCTCACTTTAAAGAAGTGGCAGAACAAAAATGGCGGCAAGGGAAGTCATCTCTCAGAATTTAGTTACAATGGCAGACAAAATTTCATTTGGACTGAAAACATTGCGATGATAGCTCTTCAATTTCAAATGAAGACCCCCATTAAATGCAAAAAGGGGTGGAGATGAAACCGAAATGATAGGCTCTTTGCCGTCATTATTTGCATAGATGGAGCTTTTGCCATCAGTCTCATCATGTTCGAGTAAGAAGTGGTCTGGATTCAATATTTAAAGCCGAAATTCAAGAGGACCGCCCCTTCTCTTTATTTAGTACAGGGGTAAATGAAAGGGCAGAGCTATGGAAAATGAATCATTAATCATTATGGGACAATTAAAAGTTTTGAGAACGGGAAGACAACACTTTCTTTAACGTCTTTCTCGTTTAATTGAGCAATGAATGCATATACAATAAACTTTTTAACGGGAGTGAATTTATTTTTCAGCAAATTTTTAATGGCAAAATAAGAAAAAAGGCTAAAAATCTGATAAAAAAGATAAATGCCAATGCTGGACATAGAAAGGTGCCACATTCTTTACCATTCCTAGCTTTATATATATATAGATAGACTCTTTCGCATTGTATTAGAACTAAACTTTAACAATAGCCAATATAGAGTTATAGGATTTAATAGAATTTATATATGCTAAAGAATTTGCATGAACAGACGCAAACCCACCACACACAAAGTACTTGCTCAAATCCTTGCTTTCATGAACTGATAGGAGACCGGGTTTCAGCTCCGGAATTGTTGCAACATGCGCAGGCGAAACACCCATCTGTCCTGTAGTTGCGGGGATCATAAACATGTCAACCTGCAAGGTGAAAAGAAAGAACAAACAAGCTTGGACTTATAATTTTGCAGATGTAATAATGCATGCACATTCTTCATATAGACATGTCTTCTGTAATCACAAGCCATACAAAAAAGTCAAACTTCAATTGAGACACTTCATTTAGAGTATGCTGGAAAATAAGTCAGAGGCTGGCAGCCCAAGGAATATGATGAAGAATTATTAAGGACAAAAAATGTAAAGCAAATACAAAGATCAAAATTAGTAGAAGAGTAACTGTTCAAAAGCATGAACTCAGTCAATGGTTCCTCTATATCAAGCCTTCCAGCAGTATTTACTAACATGTCAGCGTATTCTCCAATGCACCACACAGCAACTCGAACGAGAGTTTCCTAACAGCACAAGATCACCAAATTGTAAGAAACAATAAGGAACAAAAGGAAATAGGAGATCTAGGCAATTCTTGAAGTACCTGTTCCACTGCTACTTGCACTGCTCTGTATAGAGACCGTACTGCATAACCATGGAGGTTGGAAGCATTTGGAAGGATAGTCGACTGATTCTTACTCTTTAAGAAAGAATGAAAGAAAAGAATACATCCATAAAAACAGGCACATGGATCAAATGTTACAGGCTGGCTCTTTGACAGGCATAAGTATGACAAGTCACAAACTTTTACAATGAGAGTCTACAAACGTGTGGTAACCAATCTACAGCCAGCAGTATAAACACATTAATGAGCAATTATATTTAGATCCCTGTGATTGAGTTTGGTTCTATAAAGCTTAATGCAGAAAGAATTTAACCATTAGATATTTCTCATCAATTACTAGTTTAAGTGAAAGAAACACCTTGCGGGCACTTAAAATTAGGCTGTAATTGATTAAAATTTGTAACTACCATGGTTTCTCCGCAATAAAGATATGCATTTATAAAGTGTATCTAAAAGATTACTCTTCCATGAGGAATATCCTAACAGTAATGCGACATAACCTATATACTGATGCATTTTATGTGAAGATGGTCTACCAACCAAAATAATACTGATGCATTTTACGTCCCAAAAGGATACTAATGCAATTTATGTGACTATGGTTTACCAACAAAACAGATCACTGACACATTTTATACGATGACAGTCTACCAACAAAAAAGATTAGCTGGATAACTACCAATCGCCAAACGTAATGCGCAACCTTTTCACTTTAGAGTAACGTAACTTTGTCATACCTCTGTGCAAAGATTGTAGATTCGTGCAGAAAAGATTGACAATTTTCACACATGAAAAGGAAAAAAATAGATCACCGTGCACATAATCATCTACATTTAAGAAGAATACTAGTACAACTACAAACATTTGTAGATGTTTAAGCTTCTCCTACGCTACCAGGATATGGTGTAAGGCAAGGGTGTTCAATAAGGTCAGATATACCTAGGCCTTTTTTGGAATGGTCAGTCAGATTTCTGAAGCCTTTTTTAATGGTCAAGTCAGATTTCAGCCTTCTTTGTTTTGAATGGTCAGTCAGATTTTTCGAAGCCTTCCTTTTCTTTTTAAATGTTGGTCAGATTTCCAAAGCCTCTAAAATTAGGGTATCGGGATAAAATAAAAAAACGTTGGGCGTAGGTGTGAGGATACAGCTTATAAGCATTTCGAATCATGTTACATGATATTCGATCTAAAATCATGATCTAGAGGATGCTGCAGACCTATATCAAGCTTTTAGATGAGGTCACTATTCAACATGGGCTTCAAGTAAGCATAGATCTGAGTACAAGTCTAGCTGCTGCCACCCATTTTAAAAGGTATTTCCAGTGTTGACCCAAGAAAAGATTACACCCTCACGTAAGTGGGCGTCAATCCTAAAATAAAACTTAAGTTGATTAATTCACAAAAAGACCATATGACCTACAAATAGTCTCAAACTCAAACAGAAATATCATAATACAGTAAAATATATCAGTTTATTCATACCTCAGAGAGAACCTTGAGCATCTGATCAATGTACCAAATTTTCTCTGGTAAGAACCTAGAGCACCATAAGCAGTTGTAAGTAGGAGATGCCTTGGAAGAGAACAAACAATGCAGTTGTTTGGGAAAGTTATCTAATCATATTACAACACATGAACCCCGCTTCTCCTGGGGATACAACTTGAAAAATCAAGAGAAACGAAACATGAAAATAACAAACGAATGAACAGAAAACACATCATCCTTACTGATATTGAAAGCAGGAGCATTCTGCAAATTCTAAGAATCAAAATCATAGTTCTCATAAACGTTTTCATAGTTGACTTACTTTTCCACAATCGAACAGATTTTGGCAGTGCGATCTCCCCTAAAGTGCGGATCACTTGCTTCTAGATAGTCAATTAACTCCTTCGTAGGCTTCCCATAGCTTTTGTATACACAAGTTCAACGGCCCTTTTACGAATTGATGAATCAGTATCCTGAAAATTAAACAAGCCACAAATTGCTGCCTATTTGATATAAATGGAACGGCAGGGAATAGTATGTCCAAGTACGCTAGATTAACTGAAGATGCCACATAATCTGAAATGTAGAAGGACATGCTATATATGATCAGGCTAGTCGGGCTATCATTTACAACTTATGCTGCAGAAAATATCTGGACTGAGGTACTACACATATCAAAGGGAAAGAACAATGAGTATGAAGGAGTGGAAGGACTATGAGGAAGAATAGACTGTAACAGTCAAATACCTTCACACATTCCAAAATTGTTGCCTGATGCCTCTGCACTGCTTGACTATCTACAGCTATAGCTATCATCCAACTGTTCAGTGCAAAATGAAGTGGAATTTTCCTAACAGTTACATAGCCTCTCGTAGATAAGTATAGACGTCTCCGTACCGATCCGCGAGACTCCAATAAACCGGCTTGTGATTCATGACTCCTATGAACCTAGAGCTCTGATACCAACTTGTCTTGACCCTAGTTCTCCCTCTGTGAACTATCATGACGGCACCTAGTCTCTACGACTAGGTAAGCCTAACAAATGTGGAAAAAGAAACAATTGCGGAAAGAAAGTAATTAAAAACCGAGATAACAAAATTAAACAGTGTCTAAGATGCCGCCCGGCATATAACAGTACAAGAATCTCAACCTAACACTCCCAAAATCCGAAACCCCATGAATCACAAGCTAAGAGTTTACATAAAAAGCTCTAACTCCAGAAATATCTATCAACAAGAAAATATACAGAAGGGTTATACTAGTACTGAGAATAAAAAGGGACTCTTCGGTCTGCGGACGCGGCAGATATACCTCGAAGTCTCTACAAAAGCGCCTCGCATCAAGTGTGATAAGACTAAGTGGAAGTACCTGGACCTGCACATGAAAAACATGCGCAGAAAGGGCATGAGTACACCACAGTGGTACTAAGTAAGTGCCAAGCCTAACCTCGGTCGGGTAGTGACGAGGAAAGTCAGGGCCCTACTGAGGTTAAATGAAATACAAGGTATAACAGTATAGGAGAAGATAGTATAATCAAGTGCAACAGTAAGAAGTAACACATGATAGAAAGAACAACAACAGCCAAATCAGAGACAAAGTAATCACGAAAAGGAAAACAGCTCAACATAGAGATAACAACCAGGGATCTCCCAGGATACGTCCTGTAGTCCCAAATATAAACATCCAGTGGATCTCTCGGGATACCTCCCGTAGTCCAAATAATATATATATCCAGTAGATCTCCCGGGATACCGTCCCGTAGTCCAAGTCATAGTGCACGGGGATCTACCGGAATCTCGATCCGTAGTCCCAAATATAAATACCCAGTACTGGGGGAATCTACCGAGTGCAGTCCCGTAGTTCCAATATAAAAGTGCGGGGGGGTTTTCCCGGAATACAAATCTGTAGTCCCAAAGTAAACATACAGGGGATCTCCCGGGATACCGTCCCGTAGTCCCAAAATAAATACACAACAGCAACACGAAGAATACTCAATTCAATTCAAATTTCATACCAAGGTAAAACAGACAATTCTAACCTAGCATGTTGCACATAATCCAATTAAGGCAGTTGAGCAAATAAGCAATTAGGTCAATTAGACATGCTTCCCTAAGCTAACGGCAAGCTTAAATTGCAAGTATTGTAAATAGGAAAGGAAACACAATTGTTGTTACTTAATGAAAATCGGATTTTTCAATAATTAGCACAAGTACGCACTCGTCACCTCACGTACAAGGCATTTCAATTATCAACAACACAAAATCCTAAGGGGAGTTCCCCCACACAAGGTTAGGCAAGCCACTTATCTCGAACCGGCTCAAAGTCAACCCGAAACCAAGCTCTTGCCACGAGTACTCGACTCCAAATGGCCCAAATCTATCAATTCAATTGCATAATGTAAATAACACTTCAAGTAACTGATGCCACAAATAAATTCTAAGCTAATACACGAAATTAGGTAAAATGGTCAAAACTCCCCTGGGCCCACGTCTCGAAATCGGGTAAAACTTACATTTTCAGAATCCTCATACTCTCACGAGTCTAACCATACCAAAATTATCCAAATCCAATGTGAAATTCCCAATCGAAACTCGAAATTTAGGTCTAAGAACTTTCTCCAAATTCCCCCCCCCCCCCCAATTTTCCTCCCAAATCCGAAATTAAATGACAAAACTAAGATTATATTATAGGAATACAGCTAGAAAGGGATTAGGAATCGTTATCCACTGATTTCCTCTTTAAAATCCTCCCAAAATCACCCTCACCCGAGCTCCAATCAATTCTCTAACTTTTGAAACTAAACCCTCGAAATTCTTATTTTCTGCCTAGTAAATCTGCATCTGCGGTCGAAATTCCCGCTTTTGCGATACTGCTTCTGTGGTTGAGGGAACCGCTTCTGTGGTTTTCACTAAAACCTCCATCTCCGTACCTGCGACCCAGATTCCGCATCTGCGGTCCCGCATCTGCGGTAACCCTTCCGCTTATGCGGTCTCTGCTGCCTTCACTTGTGGCCGCATATGCGGCTCCATGCCCGCTTCTGCGAGTCCGCACCTGCGGTCCCCTAGCCGTAAGTATGGTTATGACAGCAATGGAAAAGCTTCAGCTGCCAAACCAAATTCAAAAATCCCCCTTAACCATCTGAAACCACCCCGATGCCCCTGGTACCTCAACAAAAAGCACGAACATGTCATATACCACTAACCCAAACTTATACAAATCTTCAAAACACCTCAACAACATCGAATCAACCAATTAACATCGGATTCAAGCCTAAGAACTTCAAAAATTCTCAAATTACGCTTTCGATTAAAAAGTCAATCAAACCTCGTCCGAATGATCCAAAATTTTGCACACACGTCACATTCAACACTACGGAGCTACTCCAACTTTTGGAATTCCATTCCGGCCACGATATCAAAATCTCACTATCGAACCGGAAACTTCAAAAATTTAACTTTCGACATTTCAAGCCTAATTAAGCTACGGACCTCCAAAACACAATCCGAACACGCCCCTAAGCCTGAAATCACATAACGGAGCTAACGAAATTAGTGGAATTCCATTCCGAGCCCGTCTTCACTCTGCTCGGAGTACGATCCAAATTTTAAAACTTAAGCTCTCATTTAGGGACTAAGTGTCCCAAAACTCTCCGAAAACTCCAAATAAATCCTCTCGACAACTCGCAACAGCAGAAATAAACACGGGGAAAAGCAGTTAATAGGGAATCAGGGCATAAATTTTTTAGACGACCGGTCGGGTCGTTACAGTTCTTGTCCTTGCCCGCTTGATTGGAAGAAGCTTCCTCAACTGCTAGTTCTGCTGCCATAACTTTTATTTGCTTCTCCAAGGTACATTTATTCTCCTCTAAAACCTCCATCTCTAGTTGAAGACTTTCATACTGCTCTTTCCAAGTATCTGCCTCGGTGTGATAGTCATGCATTAACTGCTCCGTATGGACAACCTTTTTCATCATCTATG